CGACGAATTCGTTGGTGATTCAGTGCCAGAGGATCACTTTAAAGCAATCTTAAAAACGGGAAACGCCAAATTGTTTCAATTGACTAGATCTACTCAAATTGACAACTTCCCACCAAAAATTTCTTTCCTTTCATATAGATATCAAACGTATCTTTTTAATTAAAAGTCAAATTTTTTCTGAAGTAGGCAATTTGAATAGATATTTTTTTGCGTTTTCATTTGATCCAAGTGCCATTTGTCTTTGTATTATGGTTCTCAAGGTTAACTTGATGAAGTGTTCGAAACAAAGAAATTTTACGTTTTTTTTTTGTCAGTTGTATGTTTATGTACATTAATAAAATTTGGTAAATGATTCGTAAAAGGTGTCAACATTAACATACAGGGTGTTCGGTCCAAGTCGCCCCGGCTGATAACACCTAAACTTACTTCTTTTTTTCAAAAAGTAAATGTTTAAGTAATAATATTCATTCTTGGCTTTCTTAATAAATGTATTAATTTTTTTAGCACATCCGGTGTTGCCGGAAATGCTACCAAATTTAGTTTTTCAAATGGAACACCTATGTTCTTTGTCCTCCAAACAATAATAATTGACATGAAAAATACTGTAAACCACTATTTATTACATTTTGAGTAACACAATGCAATCAAGAAACATCTTAAATATAGAATTTTATAAGGAAATTGGTCGCGTAGCCCAATTTTTAATTTTAAAGGAAAGGTGTGAATAAAAAATGCTTATTAGATACAATTAAATTCTTGATTTGAGAAATATAATTTGCCAGTTGATGAGCGAGTTCTCTTGGGTTTTCTTCGACTGATAAAAGAACATTCAGATTTCTATTTTGTCTTCACAAAAAACCACAGGTTTTTTAGTTTTAAGAAGCGAACCTATTCGTCTCAGTTGTTTTTCAATTCGACAAAATTTCCAACGATTTGGGTGAACTCTATTTGAGTATTTTAGTATTTTTCTCTATACTGTCTTTCAGCTTCCGCTCTATTTTTATTGCACTTAAAAAACACTTCCAGCTTATCTACCAATTCGTCGTAATTAATATCATCCATTATTAAAAATCTCAATAAGATTTATTAAAAAATTAGGCTTTGTCAAACTAACAATTAAACGGTATCCAAGCATATTGATTTTTGCATAAATACCTTGACAAGTAAAATCCGCCTACGTTGCAAAATTTGCAATAAAATTCAAAAATTTAAATTGTTTTCTGAGTGCATTATGTAAAGTAAAATGTAATAAATAGTGGTTTACCGTATTTTTCATGCCAATTATTATTGTTTCGAGCAAAAAACATAGGTGTTCCATTTGAAAAACTAAATTTGGTAGCATTTCCGGCTACACCGGATGTGCCAAAAAAAATTTGATGCATTTACTAAGAAAACTAGGAATGAATAGTATTATTTGAAAATATAGTTTTTGAAAAAAAAAGAAAGTTTAGGTGTTATCTGCCGGGGCGACTTGGACCGAACACCCTGTATAAAAAAATCAAAGTTGTATCTTTTATAATTTGTTAGATATCTGTAGTTAAACTTGACCAAAAACAGCACTTTTTCGCGCCACCTTAAACCTAAACCGTTGAAGATAGAAATATGGTCTCGGAAACTTTTTTGTAGCAAATTTTATTTTCTACAATTTTGTCTTACACTTTTTTGTATCTTTAACCGTATTCGCAGCGTTCTCAAAAATATTGAGCGGAATGCAAACCGATAATTGTTTATAATTTATTTTTAATACTGTTTTCGATATTTTTGAAAACGTTGCGAATACGGTCAAAGATACAAAAAAACTGTAGGGAACAAAGTTGTAGAGAATTATATTTCTTACAAAAAAAATCCACGAGATCATATCTCTATGTTCAACCGTTTAGGTTTAAATTAATTTTTGTCTCTTGGCCACCGGTAAAAATGAATTCGTCATTTGAGCGTCTTTAGGACCTAAACCATCCAATATATAAATTTCTTAGTACTTAATGTTATAATTTTACGACTTAATGACGTATTTTTTTCTTCATATTGAATTTGGTGTTTTTTTTTAAATTAGTTTAGGGGGGCTGTCGACCGCTTTGACCGTGATGTTAAGCACCTACACGATTCTGCGGTGTGATTTGCACAGAACCGCCAGTTGAGTTGAGTAAGTTCAATTTCACAATTGTGTTCACATCTATGTGAAAAAGTCGGGTTAATTAAAAGTACGTAAAAATAATGCATGTAATTTGACTCTCAGATGACAATAGAAATCTGTAAATTTCGCTTTCAATTGCGGAAAGAGGAACTAAAGCATACCAACGAGTATTCGGAATTTTTGCAGTCAAAAAACAATGAAACAAAACATAAATATGAGCAATCGCAAGAGTGTTTAGAGGCGGAAGCTGTAAGTTAATACATTAAGTTACAAAAAAATGGCACACTAACTGAAGCACAATTATCACTATTCCAGTTTATAAAAGTTAATAGTAGGGCGAGATTTAATATTTCACAAAGTAGCGTAAACAGGATTATATTGAAGCATAAATTTCATTCATCTCACGTAGAATTTTGTAAACAAAATATTGTTTAGCGATGGAGCAGCTTTTAAAAGCAATGGAAGTGTGTATAGATACAATATTCGCTATCATTCGGTTAAAAACCCACACTGGCTTAAGAAAATTGATCAACAAAACCGATGGTCGCTAAATGTTTGAGGGGTAATGTTGGTACACAAATGATGGGTTATTTTTTCTTTGATGGTGTTCTTAATGATGCAATTTCTTCAGGAAAATCTCTCTGTGATATTAAAAGATGTTGCTTTAAACACAAAAAGAGAATTGTGGCTACTACAAGAAGGCACTCCGGTGCACTCTTACAGAATTAATCGGCAACATTTGGATGATTTTTTTCCTAATAGGTAGATAGGAAGAGAAGGCCCTATTGCTTAGCGTCCTCGTTCTCCCGATTTAACACCGATGGACATTTTCTTGTGAAAAAATGTGAAGGAAAAAGTTTATAAGGTCAAACCAACGACGGCTAAAAATATGAAAAATAGAATTTCTAAAGCATTTCAGTCAATCCGCCAAGACTATAACTATAGTCAACTTTGTCTTTTAAAAGACGATTGACATTTTGTATCGAAGAGAACCGTGATCTATTCGAACACCTACACTAAAATGTATGTAGTTCTACTGATTTTGCGGTATCTGGAAAAACACTTAATCAAAACACCAAAGTCCAAAAAAAAATTGGTGCAACACAAAAAAAGCAGTTATTTATTTATATGTATAAAAGAGTTCCGTGACTGACTGACAGACAACGCAAAGCCTAAACCACTGAAACTAGAAACATGAAATTTGGCAGATATGTTCCTTAGAAGGCGTCGAGGTCCGGTAAGAAAATATTAAAAAAAAAAATATTTAAGGGGGTGAAATGGGGTGTAAACGTTTAAACAAAGATAGAAACAAAAAATTTGGAAGATATGTTCTTTAGCGGTTGTGAAGGTGCACTAAGACGAGATTTTTTTAAAAATAATTAGTAAAAACTTATTTACTCTCTTAGAAAAGGGGGTGAAACGGGTTGTATAAGTTTAAACAAAAATAGAAACATTAAATTTAGAAGATTTGTTTCTTAGAGGGTGTACAGGTTCGCTAAGAAAAAATTTTTCGAAAATGAATCTCTACGGGGATGAAATGGGGTGTAAATATTTAAACAAAAATATAAAGAAAAAATTTTGAAAATATGTCCCTTATCAGTTGTAAAAGTGCACTAGGACAAGATTTTTTTAAATAATAAGTAAAAACTTATTTACATCCTTAGAAAAGGGTGTGAAACGGGGTGTACACTTTTAATCAAAAATAAAAAGATGAAATTTGTACAATATGTTCTTTAAAGTGTGTAGAGGTTCGTTAAGGAAGAATTTTTCTATAATCAATCTATAAGGGGATGAAATGCGGTGTAAACATTTAAACAAAGATAAAAATATAAACTTTGGGAAACATATTCCTTAGAGGGTGTAGATGACCGCTAAGAGGAGATTTTTTGAAAATCAATTTCTAAGCATGGGGTCTAAACATTTTAACCAAAATAAAAACATAGTATTTGGCAAACACATTCTTTAGAGGGTGTAGATGTCCGCTAAGAAAAGATTTTTTGAAATTATATTTACAAGAGGGTGAAATATGTTGTCAACACTTAAACGAAGATAGAAACATAAAGTTTGGAAGATATGTTCTTTGGCGGTTGTAAAGGCGCACTAAGATGAGATTTTTAAAAATCAGTTTTTAAAGGGGTGAAATGAGGTGTACATGTTTAAACGAAGATAGAAACATGCAATTTTTCTTAGAGAGTAGAGAAGTGCACTAATCAGGCATTTATAAAAACCAACCTATAACGGGATGAAATTAGGTGCAAACATTTAAACAAAAATATAAATATAAAATTTAAAATTTTGAGATTTGAACGTGTAGAGATGCACTAAGAAGACACTTTTTGAAAATTCGACGGGGTGAAGCGTTTATAACATACTTTTGTCACTCTATTAAAAATCGGGTTTCTGATGCTCCGGCGTTGTTTTGAGTTGATGAATCAAGAAAAAAATAGATAAACAGACTAACTTCACATTTCTTCTTTAAGAAACAACAAAAATTTATATCGAAAATCTACGTGGAGAAAGTCACGGGTGCAAGCTAGTTTAGAATAAAATGTTTGTGTTTTCAGACTAATGATTTTGTGCTACTTTTCCAACAAAATGTAATCGCAATTCACTCTAATTTCTTTTAATCAGATTATGAGGAATGCTATTATAAGCACTAAACGTATTTTTTCCACATAAACAAAACTTCGACTCACTACTCGAGACAGATATATCAATGAATAGTCGGTGTTTCGATAAAATAATCAAAAAAATCCGACGCGTATCTACAAAACATTAGATAGCATCACGATAATTGTTATCAACTTTTATTAGTGTAATTTTATGGTCACGATTGCACAAATTGATATAAATGTTTAGAAATAAATGAGAAATTTCCTGTGTAAAATTATTTGAATCTAGTACAAATATTAGTTTTCGTTCAATTCTAACTCACATATTTCACAGCAATGAAACCAATATACCACGTTTTATGGGTTTATTTAGCAGTATTTTTAATTAATAAAGGTGTAAGTACATAGAGGTTAATACTGTGATGTGTTCATGCAAATCGTAACAAACATATTTTTAGCTGTGTTGCGTATTTTTGAGATTAAACAAAGGACTGATTAAAGGGCGCATTGCTACAATTCCAAACAGCAATAAAAAATTTTATGCTTTCCAACAAATACCATATGCTGCTCCACCAATTGGAACATTACGCTTCCAGGTAAATAAAAACCTTAAAAGAAAAGTGACGCTTTGTATAATTGTAGCCTCCTGTACCGGTTAACGCATGGGACAATATTTTAGATACTACAAAAAATACAAAAATTTGTTATCAAATTGGTGTTAATTCGATAGAGGAAGATGAAGATTGTCTTTACTTAAATGTTTATACCCCAAAAGTGTGTTGAAATTAATTTAAAATAATTAACTTACTAAAAAAATAACACATTTAGTTACCTTCTACGAATAGCAATACATCTTTACCTGTTATGGTTTTCTTCCACGGAGGAGCTTTTGCCATAGGAGACTCTAAATATTCTTCATATGGACCCGAATTTCTTGTAAATCATGATGTAGTTATTGTAACTTTAAATTATCGGCTTGGAGTATTTGGTTTTTTGTCAACACAAGACGAAGTGATCCCTGGTAATAATGGTCTTAAAGACCAACTATTTGCTTTACAATGGGTCAATAAAAATATTCATTTATTTGGCGGAAATTCGTCTGAAATTACTATATTTGGACAAAGTGCGGGAGCTGCATCAGTTGGTTATCATCTGGTTAGCAAAAAATCAACCGGTAATAATTTGTATTAAATTCTGCCTCATTATTTTCAAAAATGTTTAAAGGGTTATATCGAGCTGCTATAATGGAAAGTAGTTCAGTCTTAAACTCATTTGGTTATCAGAGAAATGCCAAACATTTTGCACATAAAATAGCGTCTTATATTAATGCAAGCGTAACTGAAGAAAGTGCATCTGAAGAAATTCTCAGTGTTATGCTTCACGCTTCATCTACAGAAATTGATAAGGCGGCTGATAAAGTAGCTTCTGAGGTAAAGGGAACAATCCGAAATTGTCCAAATTTTATTTACAAAATGAAATAAATTGTAGGAAAGTTACAACAGTGCTCAACTATTTCAAGGCTACTTTTTTGCACCTGTTGTCGAACTAGATTCCAAAAATGCGTTTTTAACTGAAAATATGTTTGAGATTTTAGACAGAGGAGACGCCAACAATGTTCCTGTTATTATTGGAATAAATTCTGAAGAAAGTCTGAGTCAAAACACAGGTATTATTCGCTTAAATAATATTCTATTTATTTTCAAACAGAAATACGTAGATGTAAATTTTTTAACACGACTTATGAAATTATACGATAACGATTTAAAAGCTCTTGTTCCTAATAATATGAACATCGTTGATGAAAACTCTAAAGAAGAAGCAGGGCAACTTATACGAGAGTTGTATAGTGGAGATGATTTACTACAAAATGTTCCAGCAGCTGGGATAAAAGTATAATAAAAACAGTTGTCAAATATTGTAATTAAAAAACTATACTTTGTAATTTTTTAGTATATGAGTGATACAACATTTACAAGACCCGTAATTAAGTATACTTTATTACAGTCAAAACATTCCGAGCTATACTTTTATCAGTTTTCATATGACGGAAAACTGGGAAATATTTCTGTTGTAGTTGATGGTAATTACCATTACTAAATGTTTGCATTTTATAATTTAATTTTAGGAACAGAACGTGTAGGTCATAATGAAGAACTTGCTTATCTCTGGAGAATTCAAAATGAAATATTTGATAATTATGATTTGTCACTATTTCCAGAAAGTGATATTACAATACAAAATCGTTTGGTAAAATTGTGGACTAATTTCGCAAAAACTTTGTAATTAGGACAGGTAATTGATTTTCCATTATTTATATTTTTTGTGATATTTTAGAAATCCAACACCTGAAAAAATTGATCTTTTTCAAAATATAATTTGGCCACAAGTGTTAGAAGACAATGATTTTCCTTATTTAAATATAAACGAAAATTTACAAATAAAAAATTATCCAAAGAACGACAGTTTTTGCGGATGGGAAAGAATTTACGACCAATATGGAAATCGGCCCTATGATTCATATTAACTCTTGATTTATATTAATTTAATTTACAATTACAGAATAGTTAGTTAACAATTTGAAGACAGAAATTTTAAACATCCTTTTTCTGATTTTTAAATGTTTTTGTGTCACAGTAATAAAAAAACTTATGTTACTTTAAATACATTCCAGGCCTTATGTACAAGGTTTGAGGGTAGCTCTTCCATATTCTGAACTGATTTCTGGGTACAAGATTTACTTGAAAGATACGAAACGTGTGTCGCTACCCACATATTTCCAAAAATACGCGCAGGAAAAAACAGCCAAAGAATTGAGTTTGGTTCGGGATTGCTGGAACAGCCTACTTAACATCACACACCCAAATAAAAAAAACTGGTTTCTGGAACGTCGAAAAACATAATATGTCCATGTTACGGTTTCCTGTTTTCTTTTGTAATTTTTTTGAAAAGTGCTCAAGATATCGATATTGTAACGTTCTTTGATCTTGTACAATGACGACGTTCGGGAATTTGGGAAGAAATTGTGTTAAAAAGTTGTCAAAAACCTTTTATTGTCAAATTTATTTATAAAATTAACTACAGTTTCTACAGGGTGTTTCACATAATTTTTAGTGTTGGGCACAATCGAATGATTTTGACTATCGAATAATCATGTATCGAATGATTTAAACTATCGAATAATCATGTATCGAATGATTTAAACAATCGAATGAATTATTCATTAAAATTAATTCATTTATCTTATTCAATCGTTTGAGTAAATAAATGGTGGTAGAATGATTCATTCGATAGTTCAAATCATTCGATAACTCAATCAAAATCATTTATCTACACCTGCGACATCAGAGCCTGCAGAAAGGATTTTTTCAAAAACAGGACAGTTAATGACAGTAAGGCGAAATATTTAGCAATTTCTTAAAACCCAAATTGTTTTCATACGCGCTCGGGCTTGGCAAAAATTTCAGTAGGTACAAACTTAGATTGAATGAATTATTAGAGTGGGATAAACACCTTAACTAACTGTACGTGAGAAAGAAACAAATAATTTTATTCGATAATTCGGTATTGCGTACTTATTCATTTCTTCTTAATGTATGATTTTTAATGAATGAATGTATTTTAAACTATCGAATAATTGAAATGACAGACAACTATCCAATTTTTCGTTAAGATTCATTCGATTGTGCCCATCACTAATAATTTTACGAGCACTGCACCTGTAAGATGCAATCAATAATACATATTCCGATACGAACTCGATTAAAAATTTTGAAAAATTGGATAATCATCTCTAGTTTGTTCATCTTTTAAAAAATTACAACTTATTTAGTTAGTTGGTGATTAAGATAGGTAAACGAATCATATTCATACTCTCCTGATAGAACAAATTATAGTAGTTTCTGAAAAATTGCAGTTTATGACTATTAATGAAACAGTGATTAGTTTGACGACTACTGTCATGGGTGTACAAAAATTAAATAAATAAAAGTGAATTTTTTGTATCGAGTGTTTTGTGATTTTTGTATATTTTGGCGCGTACATTAGGCGCAAGCCTCGTAAAGTTGTGTTACACTCTGTGTAGTAATTTTAAGAAATGTATGGCAACAGTCAAATATTTAGAATTTGTGTATAAATTTTTTCAACTTCATGACGTGAGTAACAGAACTCAATACAGGATGCGCCAAAACTCGCGCCCCAGAGAAAAATGTCAAATGCCAGCGGTAATAGATCGCCAAAAAGTACAGCCGAAGAAGTAATTTTTGCTTGCATAAGAAAGTTATTAGACTCTTAAATCCACCAATACCAGAAGCGCACCTCAAGGTGTGATTGATAAATTATATCCGTTGCTAGGACACAAAAATAATACCAATTTGCCCAGAACTTTAAAAAGTAGCTGGTCTACTGTAATTTTGACACCTGTCATGTGACATAACCTACCAGTTTACAGTATTTCTCTCGCTCAAGATGTTGTACACGAGTATAATCAGTCAAAATTACGAAAACTATTTTGAAAACTCGATTCCCAAACATTCTGGAAATCTCCGATTAACCGACTTCTCTAAAACATCTTCACAGGTATTGCTCCTTCTTCAAAAGTATGCATCGGCTTGTTAATTTGTATAAAATTTTAGCGGTTGGCTGTGACACTTCTGATAAAAAAAATTAAATTTTGACGGTGACATCATTCAAAGAAATTCAAAGTGCTTACGTGTACTCGTAGTTGTGATTTTTAGATTTTTATTCAGTTATTGTGTACAGATGTGTGACTGTGTGTACAAGTAAAGGAAGTTTTACTAACAATTTGTGAATTTTGGTGATGAAAATGTGGACATTGATGGAAAAAATGTGAAGATTTGTTTCGGCAGACACCCTTGTGACAAGAATTCGACAACCCAGACTGTTTATACATCCTTCTCGAACATAATTGTTCTAATATAATCCATATAAGTATGAAACCACCTTGTTAACTAATGTGATTCAATGTCTTCAATAAATCACTTAAAAAAATCTTTTATTTTCTTTGTTTAATCTCTAATAAGATGCCAGTAGCACTTGTCTCCCTCTACGAAATACTCAATTAACATTATTTTTACCATTTAAAAAAGGTACATTTTGCTCTATAGTTCAGCGTCCAAACTACAGAGGCGCTGCTGAATACGAGTTCAAAAGGTTGTACATGAGTACGCCATCTATATACCCTATATAAATTATTCATCTATGGGTATCTTGCAAATCAAGATCAAGTTGAATTATTGAACTTCAAACAGTTTGGAGCTACAATAAAATATTTGGAAACAATGTTTAATTTTTTTTTTAATTGGGTAATAGAACTCAACACGTTCGCCAACATGACTGTGATGTTGCACCATTTGCTGATATTTCGGACGCCTTTGGTGACTTGACCAAGAATTTCCGTCGTACATTAGGGATGTTCAAACTAGACCAGAAGCAATGGAAATGCGAGGGCTGACAAAAGAAACTGCAGAAGCATTTCTTTTTACTGCCAAGTACCGACCTTTGCGTGAAATATTTGATAAGTGAATTGAACTTCTTCTATGTCCTTAACGAGATGATTGAGTTCTGATGCCATAGAGTGCTTATTTTCTAATGTTAGACTAAGAAGTGGATCTAACGTTCTCACAGATTGCAGATGCACTTCGTCAAATTTTGAAAATAGACATAATTAAAAATGTTAACTCTTGTAACACTGCTTCCGAATACAAATATGTGAGCTCGGCAACTACAACGACCATGAAGCAAAATTCACTAGAAACTACAATGGCTGTTACACTAAAAGATTCCAGCTTAAATAAATTGGAAAAATTAAAACATTTTAATAGCACTGAATACATCGATTTGGTTAATAAGGAATCGCCTACTATGGCATTTTTATGTGGCTATCTTATAAAAACAGCAGATCAATTAGTGAGCAGCAATTTATGTTTTTCAACATTACAAGATCTTAATGCCCAAGTAAACTGCCCGTTATTGGAGTTAATATACCACCAAGATCGTGGGAGATTAATCTACCCAAACAAACAATTGGTCAGTTTAATAATAGTGTTTGTTGTAGAAATTATTATTGAACTATTACCAAGTCTGCCATCTGAAGATGTGTTTAATTTAAGGAATATTTTATTATCCTACCTTACCGCAATCCCATTTCTTGTTGGAAATCTCATTCTAAAAATTCTGTGTACTGTTACCCGGAAGACAAAGAAATAAAAGAAATGAAAAGGATTTTCAGAAAAAATGACTTTATTGTTATTTATAAAAATTCAACTGTTACCAAAAAAAAAAAAAAAATAAAAAAAATAGCCAACTTGAATGTTGTTAAACGAGCCTCTTGGAGACGACCGGTAACAGGCTCGTTCATCAATAAAAATGCAAAAGAAAAAAAATCACAGGACTTTTCGTTGTGGTGCAGGTCGTAGCCGGTCCATGTGACACTTTCTTTGTTGTCCATCTACCTCTAACCAATAAATGTGAGATGTGCCGATTCTTTGTTGCACTGTGTAAGGGCCTGTCCATTTTCGAGCGAACTGGTAACCTGAGGTCTCTATGGCACGCACCAACACTTTATCTCCATGCTGGTACTCGCGAGGTACTGAACCATCGACTTTTCGACGTCGTTCTTCTAAGTAAAGTCCTTGGCGCTCTATTGCTTGTGGTTCTCGTTCTTCTAGGGGTTGGATCTCTTCACTGGCTCCTGGTGTGTCCCAGTCTTACGGAAATGGAAGATCTCTCCCAAAAAGAAGTTCAGCAGGCGATGCTCCAGTAGCAGCGTTACACCTTCCAACAGTTTTGATGTTTGTTGTGAAAGGATATTTTGCTGAGCGCCACTGGGAGCTTGGATGATGACCCCTCTCCCAGTAGAGATGTCTGTTATGGTGGCTGTAGGGTTTAATCTTGGAAATAAGAAAGGCCGTAATCGGTCGTCGCACCCTGGACGGTCGCGGCCCCCTTTTCGTTTCCCGATTGTTTTTCTTTTAATATGGGACAATTCATATGGAAATGTCCTTGAGGACAATAACGACATTGTGGAAGATTTTTTTGAGGCTGTGTTGCATTTTTTTGCACTAGCAGTGAAATTAGCTGGAGATGAGCGGAGTAAATTGCTTTCTAAAGCTACACAGCCTGTAATTAATTCCTCAATAGTAGCTATTCTTCCAAAAACACAGTATATGGAGATTTCAGGATGTATTAGTGTTCGACACAATCGTATCAGGTCTTTCTCTGGTGGCTCTGGATGAACATGGCGAGCCAAAGTCTGCTTCCGGCGATTAAATTCTTCTACGGTTTCATAACTGTTTGTTTCTTCGACCACAGATCAGCACGTCAGCAAACAAATCTTTCGTCGCTGTCCCAGTGACGGAAAAATGACGATTTAAATTCGCCGTAATAACTCGGCGTACAAGCCAATCGCTGCCACCAGGCAGCGGCGCCTTCTCTCAGTTGTAATGGAATTTTCTGAAGTCGTTCCGTGTCATCTGTTATAATTATTTCACATTCATTGACAAATGTCAACGGGTTTTCATGGTCCTTTCCGAAAAACTCCGGTAGTATCTCCACTGTGTCTCAATTGCGTAGTACTCTTATAATTTCACGGAGGGTACCAGAGCTCACTGATTTATGACCTGATTGCGGTGATGATGGAGTTGTCGA